CATGTGCTTGCCACACTTACCTGCAGAAGGCCCCGGGCTGGATTCGAACCTGCCACCTTAGGTGTATGTGGCTGGCGCCTTAGCCACTTGAGCCACAGGTGCCGAGCCTCCATAATTTCTTAACCACGGTACCTCCTCTTGGGAATGGCTGGACAATCCCCCAGAACTTTGTGGTCACATCTTCTATGAGTGACCCTGATGTCATGACCATTTATAGAAAATAACTTCATAGAAAGAAATTGAAGCATAAGCTTGAATGCCAAAGGCACAGTATTCATTGCTTTCTATGTTATTCTCCTATCTGAACATTAAGACCTAAGGAATTTGAATGCTTCATAATACCTCTAAAAAGAATAAGAAAAAGAAGTACTGACACTTTAAAAGTAGACACCCTGATGACAGAACTACTCCACATAGGACCCAATGGAAAAAGCCTCAGGAGAGTCTGAGAGCTCTACTCTACTTCTAGGGCCTGTAAAGAACAGACACAAACCACCCACATCACTCCTGACTTGTGATTCTTCCAGAATAAGGTGAAGAGCTTTCAAGCAAGCTAAATATCTCACTGTGAGGCAGTGCCAAAGACTAAGGCAAGTGGAGTAATTATTATTATTATTATTTTGTTTTTTGAGATAGTCTCACTTTGTCTCCCTTGGTAGAGTGCCATGGCATCACAGCTCACAGCAACCTCAAACTCTTGGGCTTAAGCAATTCTCTTGCCTCAGACTCCCAAGTAGCTAGGACTACTACAGCTACACCACAATGTCAGCTATTTTTTAGAGACAGGGTCTCACACTTGCTCAGGCTGGTCTCGAACCTGTGAGTTCAGGCAATCTACCTGCCTTGGCCTCCCAGAGTGCTAGGATTACTGACGTGAGCCACAATGCCTAGCCTAGTGGGGAAATTAGTGAAGAGGTGTGGGATGGTAGCTGCAAACATTGTCTTTAGGGATACTAAACTCTCTGAGCCCTTAAAATCATTATAGACTTGCTATCCCAAGGTAGACAAACATCAAGATAGAAAAAAGCGACCCCCAAAGTCAAGAAAAAATCCCCACATCTCCAATGATTCTCAGCTTGATTTTACCTGCTTTGAGTTGCTGCTCTTCTGGGTCTACTCTCAAGAGAGTTTTCACTTGACTTCACATCCCCTTCAGGAAGCCTGGGCCCTCCTCCTGCCATGCATAGGGCTTGGAGGTTGTGTTCAGCAGCTGTCTTTACCCTCTAGAGCAGTTTTATGGGCCTACTTTTTTTACTCGTACAGCCAGTATTCTGTACAACAAAAACTCAACCTAGCAAAGGCCTCTTTCCAAAACCCTTAGAGAAGTTCCTTCCTTTTGCCTGTATACTTGAGTGATTTAGAGGAAATACAAAATCTTATTTTTGAGGAACCTCTCCTAGTGATGAAATCATAGGCAGTATCATTTAAAGAAGTAATTTTGTAGAAGCAGCCTGAGCAAGTATTTCTGGACCTGAGATCCTGTGATATATAACCTCTCAGAAGCTGTGTCTGTCACATCCCTACCTTGGCTGCTGAGTCTGCTTCACTCATACCATTCAGGACCCCTACTCTTTTTTTGAGATAAGGTCTCACTCTGTTTCCTAGGCTGGAATGCAGAGGCATGACCATGGCTGACTGATACCTTAAATTTGTGGGCTCAATCAATCCTGCTTCAGCCCTCTGAGCAGCCGGGACAGGCACCTGCCACCACACCCAGCTAACTTTTTATTTTTCGTAGATACGGGGTCCGAGGTCTCTCTATCTTGCCCAGGCTGGTCTTGAACTCCCAACCTCAGGTGATCGTCCCACCTCAGCCTCCCAAAGTCTTAGATACAGGTATGAGCCATTGCGCCTGGCCCAGGTTGTCTTTTACAAGATTCTGTGCATGTGCTTGCCACACTTACCTGCAGAAGGCCCCTATGTTCTCCACCAGGTAACACTGCCCACCGTTGTGACAGTAACTTGGGAATAGATCGCACACTGACCGGCAGGAGCCATTATGCCTCACAAAGCCACTACGGCACTCAGTGCCATTTTCACTTGAGGCCAAGTCCTTGCCTGACTCTCCTGGGCGGGGCCTGAGGGCAATGCTGCTTCCAGGGACCACCCCTAGAGTATGCTGTGGAGGGACAGCATGCCACCGGTTTGTAGGCTGACCTGTCCCAGGCCCCAGACCGGGCTTCTCAGTGGGCACTAGAAGGTCATGTTCATCTTCCAGGTCTCCACCTCCCACTGCATCTTTGTCATCCTCCTCTTCCTCCTCTTCATCCAGGTCATCATAAAAGGATGTAGTAGGGTAGAAATCAGATTCATCAAAGGGGGTGAAGTCATCATATAAGTCAAGCAGGCTCCAGGAAGGGGTCTCTCCCTCAGTATCAGGTTGGTTCTCTGAGGTTCCTGGTGACCCTGGAAAGCTCCCCAGGTCTGCACCACGACCCTCACCATCCAATCCTTCAAAGTAGTCGATGTCAATTATATCTGATGCTGGTTGGGGGTCCAGTGTACCCTGAAAGGGGTAAGTTGGCTCTGGTCCTTGAGGGTCAGGTGTGCTGCCACCCAGGTTCAGCCAAACCTCCAAGGGGCTTTCCTTGGGAAATTCAGAAGCTGGGCTCAGCTTGTCACCATGGATCAGGGAGAGTGGTTCACTGGCCTCTGTAGCCTCTGGGGTGGCTGGGAGCATTAATGAATGTCCGAGGGCCTCGTCGGGAGCCTGGAGTGTAGCTGGAAGGGCCTGGGCATCGCCACTGCCTGCCTCTGCGGTCACTCCACCCAGGCCTGGGCTGTCAGCCTCTAGCCAGGTGGTGCTGGTCACTGCAGCTGATGCCTGCAGCACCTCCTCTGGGTCCACAATGGCCAAATCACCGCCGGGTGCCGTCCATGAGGTCTCATTTTCCTCAGCTGCTGGCAGGTAGGTCTCCTGTGTGTCATTGGCACGCGGCTCCCATTCCAGGCCGCTCTTCACTTGCTCTTCGGCCTCCAGCGCGCTGCCAGCTTCACGTGCTACGAGAGGGAGGGCGGGCGAGGGGCGGGGCGTCAGGGGCGCGCCTGGGAGAGCTTCTTGAGCCCAGCTGCGCGCCCGCTGAGGCTCGCTCCCCTGAACGGGTCAACCTAGGCTGCCGCTTCCATGCTGGCCAAGGCCACACCCAACTTTAAGCCTCGTTCCTGATGCCATCCCCCCAAGCCAAGGAACACCCGGCCCAGTGTTTCCAGGCTCGGGGCCCGCCCCAGACTTCGCCTGCAGTCTGAAGGTCTACGCTGGGGATGGGGGCCCAACTCGGGACGATCCAGAAGTCTTGCTATTAAGGCGCGCCTTGAACAAGCACCCACAGGCATCTCTCCATCACCTTTAGGTCCCGCCCTTAAGTCTCACCCTCCGACCCCGCCCCACTTCAGGCTCCGCCCACCTCCGACCCCGCCCCACCTTAAACCCCTCCCCCAGTCCGCACCGCAGCCGACACAGCGGCCCGCGCGCCAGGGTCCGGGCTGCCCCCCAACCTTTCAGCTTCCCCCAAATCTCCCATCTTCTAACCGGCCCCCTTTCCCGCTGCAGCTGGGAGCAAGGATATGTCCCACCCCCTTGCCACAGGTCGGACTCCACCTGTACCTGAAGCCAACAGCACCCCGGCCCAGGGTGGGGCACGAGGGTCGTTGAGGTCTCGATTGCAGTCGATACCTACCCGGCACGGCCCCAGCGGCGAGGATCAGCGTAGCCCCCAGAAGCAGCAGCAGTGGCAGCGGCCCCCGGCCCGGGCCCCCGCCCCCGGTTCGGCCCATGGCACGGCGCCCTGACCACTGTCCGCGGTCTGCTCGGCTGGCTGAGCCCTTGGCTAGCCCGGCCACCGCGCCTCCCGCCGGTGCTGCAGGCGCCTCAGCCCACGATGGGCAGCGCGAGAAGCCGCATGCCGCCGCCACAGTCTGCCGCTGTCCCCGGCGCGCCGCGCCTCCCCGCCTCCTGCGCCGCCGCTGCAGCCGCGCTCAGCGCCGCCCTCACCCCGCCCGCCGCGCCCGCCCCACCGCACGTAGCTGCCTTCCAGGGGGACTGGCAGACCCCTAGCTCGGGACGCGGCGACAGACGGAAGTCAGCCGCACGGGGTCAGGCGTACAGCGCCGCGCGTGGCGTTAGTCTACAGGTGCACGAACGAGAGACCTGCAGGGCGGGGCCCGGGTCTCGCTCCCCCATCTCCCTCTGGGTAAAGAGGCGGCACCGGGCCCCGAAGCCAGAAGAACCCACCCGCCATGCGGTGAGCACGGAGGCGGGACGACGCGGGCCCTGGACACCCGCAGGCTCGGGGTGGAGCTTGGAAGAGCCGCAGGGGTCAGAAGCCGGAACCCTCCCACTGTGGAGAAGACCCAGGTCCCGGGCACACTGAACCTTTCGGATTTCTGCACCAACTCCGCGTTCCAGGCGGGGAAGGGTCTCAGGGAGGTCTCAGGGACCCCACGAGACAAGGGTGGACGTTGGCACAGCCTGGCAAGGGGGCCAAGCCGACGGCCCAGGCTCTAATCGGATCAGACCTAATCCGTTCGCAGCCAAATCAACTAGCCCAGATCTTGCACAGCCAGGCCCGCCAGAACGCATCCTTGGGGCAGGGGGCAAGATCCTCCCTGGAACTGGGGCTACCTCGCCTTTCTTCTAGCCTCCTCGGGCAGTCTGAGGAGTGACCATTAATCTCAGTCCCTAACTCCCTCCCCAGGAAACAGCGTCACTCAGGTACCCCAGGCCATCAAGTTCCTGGGTAGGTCAAAGAAACATGGACCCTGAATCGGTGTTAGAGTGGTCAATGGGCCCCTTTCACCTCTCTGCTCACAGGACAGCCCAGGACCACTCACCCCAGAGGTGTGCGTGCATGTTGGGGAGGCGGAGCTGTGGCCCGCCACCCACTTTATCTTCCTCAAACCGAATATCTACCTCTTCATGTATTATGCTGACTTTGGGGGGTGGGGGTGGGTGTCTCAGCCCAAGGAGATGAGGAAACTGGTATTTGAGAGATGCTCGAATTTCTATCCTAATGGACCAAATAAGTGACTAAAATGGAGATTACATCTCCTGATCTGTCCCATACTTGTCTCCAGATGGGGTCGCCTTGATTCAAAGCCTCAGTTTCTCTAAGCAGAACTAAGCCTCAGTTTCTCTAAGCAGAACTCAGGGGACCGACTGAGCTCAGGAGTTCAAGACCAGTTTGAGCAAGAGCTAGACAACTGTCTCTACTAAAAGTAGAAAAAGCAGGGACAGCACCTGTGGCTCAGTGAGTAGGACACTGGTCCCATATACTGAGGGTGGCGTGTTTGAACCCAGCCCCGGCCAAACTGCAACAAAAAAATAGCCGGGCATTGTGGTGGGTGCCTGTAGTCCCAGCTACTCAAGAGGCTGAGGCAAATGAATCACCTAAGCCCAAGAGCTGGAGGTTGCTGTGAGCTGTGATGCCACTGCACTCTACAGAGGGTAACAGAGTGAGACTGTCTCTAAAAAAAAAGAAAAGAAAAGAAAAACCAGCCAGGCATTGTGGTGAGTGTCTGTAATCCCAGCTACTCTGGAGGTTGAGGCAAGAGGATTGATTGATGGAACCCAGGAGTTTGAGGACGCTGTGAGCTCTGATGACACTGTGGAATTCTGTCTACCCAATTCGACAGTGGGAAAAAAAAAAA